GGTCTGCTGTTCTGAGGAAGGGGAAAGATAATTAGTTGCATTTCTGTCTTTTAAAGGAAAAGGATTTTAGTGTAACCTCAGAGCTGGAAATCTGAAAACTTAAGGCAATACACAAATTTAGCTCCACAGGGGCAATCCCAGTTACATTGAGTGCACAAGGGGCTATACTCCAGTGGACCTTGGTGTTTCCAAGCCATGTGAAGGATGGCTCATGTCCAGTGAGGTTAGCTTCCTTGGCATCCATCTTGCCGTGCCCCACACCATCACAGGGGACCTGCCATGTCTTCTCCTTTTCTTTTTAGTTTCTTCCTCAGTTCGCCCCTGGGGAGAACAGATCAGATCTTCAGCTTGTGTCACAGAGAGGAGCAAATGCATAAAAATGATTTGCACCGTGAAATCTGCTTTGATGAAAGTCTGGCCCATTAGATCTGAAGTGGCTCCTTTACGGCTTTATCTGGGCAAAATCATGAGTACCTCAAAGACAGTTTCATCATTAGGTCTCAGCTGCCTGGGTTTAAAATAAGCTCCATGTTATTACACTAATCAATTATTTTTCTCTTTTAATTCCAGTGTGTCTGCACAAAGCACACAATAAAATATGGACAGAAGGAATTGCAAGATGAGATAAGACAGAGGCTTGAACATTTTTCAAATTAACCCAATTGCTTTCTGTCATTTGAGGAGATAACATGCTTTTTCCTCTTGTGACTAATGAAACCAAGGCCTCAGAATTCCCCAGAACAGGAGGGTGTGCTTGGCCCCAGCTCTGCTCCTTTTGCGATTGCATGGGACAAGCAGAGCACCCCAAATGGGGCCCCCTACACTTGCCAATGGGAAGCCGGGGCAGACATACCCATAGGCAGGTATACCTGTTTCCACTGCCCAGCCACAAGAGTAACATGCCAACTCTCTTTCCTGACCATATCCTAAGGGCAGAGGTTTCCACCCACAAAAGTGAACATTTCTTCATCCTGGTGAAGCCCAACCAAGCACTGAGCTCAATCAGAGCCATCAGCTACATGTGGTCCCAAATCTTTCAAGCCTATAAATCTTCCAAACACCCGCATTATTTTTTTCCAGGGCATATGGTACATCAGAGTTTAAATTGTATTCATACAAGTTTTCTCTCATCTGCCCAATGCCTGTATATGGCCTACAGCATTTAAAAATGCTTCGGGGCTTACGTATTGTCAACAGCACAGTGAGCCAGGATTTGTACCACAAGGGTTAAGCTGTCATTCAGGCATCTGAGAATGGTAGATTGAGCAGAGTGACATCTTGTGAGGACCTTCAGGGGCCTAAGGGATTTAACAGGAAATGGTGAACATCTTCTGGGAGCAGAATGGAAGAAATCATGAATAGTTTAGATTTGTTTTTATAAATCAAATGGAAAAAAGAAAATAGTCCAAGATCACATTTGTTGTTATTCATGGATATTTCACCTTCTTTCATTATAACCTTTTTTAGCTCTTTTAAGTACTTAGCAGCCTCCTGCTACTATGTGTTATGTGCTGTGGCATTAACTGTTGCTTCAGAAATCTGGAATTAGGGTCACTACATAAGGAAAACAAGGTCTGGGAAATCAGATATAATTCCACCTGAAGGCCCATTTGAAGCCAATACCTGGATGAAATTTATCTGTTGCCTATGCACAAGGCCCAAGCATCTACATATGCAGTTATCCAGACAATGTGCACAAGTGAAACAGCACAGAACACTTGTGCAAGCTGTTTCTGAAGCCACGTTCCTGTAAACAGAGCACATATACCCTCATCCACTGGGGGCAAAGCACACTGCTTGATTCTAAGAATGTGAGTAATTCCCATTGCCTTTGCATGGTGCACCTGGGCAGATGAGCTGTCTGTGCTTTAGAAAAGCCTTCAATAAATTTTACTTGATTTCAGCAGGACTGCACATGCTCCATATTAGATCTCTGCTTTAAGTACTTTGCTAGAGTCCTTCACTCCCAAGACTGCCTCTACTTTCTTTTTTTTTCCTAGAACTGTGAGCAATTTACACAAAAGTCTTCATCATTTTTAATTATTTGTGGCTGAAAGGACAAAAGAAAAATGAACATGCTGAAGCTGCTTGTGAGAAGGGCTTAAGGCAAGAGGGACAAAAAGATGGTGCTAAGTGTATAAGGCACAGTGATGTTAGACTTCTGACAGTGGACCTTCATGCCACTTTCACCCTAGCTGCTCTTGCCCTTAGAATTCAGATGCTCATAAGGTGGAGACTACAAGCACAGGGTTTGGGGAAGGACAAGATGACACAGCAGGCTCAGAGACTAGGCTTGCAGCAGCAGTAACCAGCAGCAAGGGTCCCTGCTGCTTCCCTGCAGAAAGCAGCGTATTTAGGTGATGCAGAAGCAAAGCAGCTCTTTTCAAAGTGACTGGTTTAGTCCTGCTCTGCACAGACCTAGGCAGCCCTCAGCCTCCATCCTGGCAGCACAGCCTGCCAGCTGGGACCTTAGGGGCACTGAAAGATGACTTCTTTCATTATACACACATATATCATCTTGCGTTGACTACAGATCCTAGCTCAGTGACTGCACACAAGAGGATAGTTTGCAAGGTCTCTACCAACAAGCAACACTTTCTTCAGGGCACAGATGTTGACATTTGCTTTTCAACACCTCCCTGTAACTTTACACACACGGTATGGGTTTATTTTGAATCAACCTATCACAGCATATAGTTTATAGGTCTCCTCAGACCCACTTCCAAGAAAGGACTCGGACTGTGTCACCCCACACCACTACCACCTCTACTCCATGCCTGCTAAGGTTGTTGTGCCTCAAGTCAAGCAGGAAGAGTATGTGCTGGTAGAGCTCACCCTCTGCACTGGGATGGACCACCATGAAAGCCAGGCACACTCCCTGCAAAATTCCCCTAAAGCACATTGACTCACTTTCCACATAGTTGCAAAAAGTATGAAATACTACTCTTGGTTCAGCCATAGTACCTTCCCCCCCACTGCACCACCTCTCTAATGAGTTTTTCAAACTAGCCAACCTGTATGGCTTTAAGACTGCTCTATTTAGGTGAAATGGGTAGATTTATACCTACCTTTGAAGACAAAGAAAAACACCTGAGGACTTCCAGAGCAGCCTGTCAATTTCCTGACTGGGAAAGGAAAGTACCCAGCTGTAGGCTTCTGCACACCTTCCTGTAACTATCTGCATGCTTTGGAGATAGGCCTCAGGCTACACATAAGGTCAAGGTTTTGGCTTGTGCTCTTGAGGGACAAGGTGTCTAGTCTTAAGGACTTGGTGGTACCCCTCAAAACACAGCAAGCAAAGTTGGTTTTCCTATGTCTGGACACAGGTTTTTGCAGTATTTTGTTATATTGAGAAAGGCACTGTATTCTGTACTCAGAGATAAAGATACCTGTGTATTTCCATGTTTCTGAGAACTGGAGGGATGAGAGAGGAGAAAAAATGTTCCAAACATGCTCTCAGAATGCACGAACTTTAAACACCAAATGATTTTTGCTGAGGTAATTTCAAAGCAAGCTGCGTAATTTCGCATCTTTTAGTCATGTTCATGACTATTTAGGGCTGTTGTGCTCATAGAGAAGGTGGAACTAAAGAAAAGAACAATCACCAGTATAGAAACACACTGAAAAATAGGACCAGCCCCTTGCCTTATTTATCCTGAAACAATCCAGTCATTCATTAGAGATGCTGGACTACCTCCCCCATCATTGCCTAATCAGAGCTACCACCATACCCTCTCTCCTGCAAAAGGGGAGGCAGCCCTCTGAATTTGACTAGGCATCAACTCAGTGGGCACTTGCAGTGCCACCTACAATAAACCCCAAGGATAAAGTTGTGAGTGTCAAGGCAGAGCTCTGCAATGATTCAGGACATTTGATCTTTGGTTGGGGCAAACCATGGTCAGTGACACTAGAGAGAGAAGATGCTTTACACGGTCTGTACATACGTCAGCCCTGGGGTCCCAGCAGGCCCCCTGCAACTCTGATGCTCCAGCTGTCATCTGCTCCCAGGCTGGCATGGAGTGATGGCAGGCTGAGCATCTGGTTCTCGACATTCATGCTGGGTTTCCATAGCTGCTTTCCGTAAACAGTATGATCTTTATTTCTATAGTGCACATGTATTCTTCTCTGAGATCCCTGTTTCCATCTCTTGTCTAGCCCCTCCACCCTTCCTTATGCTGTACCACAGTCTTTTTCTCCACCATCTGGTACAAGGAGCTCATTTGTCAAAGGGACAAGATCTTTGAGAATGTAAAGGAAGAAGCCCATCAACACTGCTTTCATCTCACCATGTTCGTTGGAGGTGAGCCAGGTGTCGGCCAGCCATGGTGAACTTTGCAGGGCCGGTTTGTTTAAGTACATTATAAAATAGATGTTCGTCAAGGGCACAGTGCCCTCACGTCAATGGAAAAAGAACCACCCTGGAACGAAACCAGATATTTCAGAATGCCACTTCTGCCAGCCAAGGCAGCCACCTGCCTGGGGCACTCCAGGTGCAAGGGGACCACACTCAACCCCTGGCTACCACTGAGAGCAGGGACAGTGCCAAATTGCTGCTGGTGTATATAGCTGAAGCAGAACACAGAGAGAGGCAGCACCAGGTTGACCGCGCTGGAGTTGACCCCAGCTATCGCAGCATCTGCACTTGCTACCACACCAGCTCCCTCGTCCTGCAGCCTTGCTCTGCATCTGGACTGATAATTTTGAGGGGCACTGAAAGAAATGCAAGTCTTTGTTCCTCTTGATGGTATAAGGCCTGGGTGCGTTGTGGAGTTAAACCCCACACTCCCTACCCTGAGTACAGAACCCCACATAGGAGGCATCACAGATGAGCACTTGAAAACTTCAACCCAACCACCTCCAAGGGCACTGCATGCAGTGGGGAAGCAGGGGATTGTTTTATAACTGCAAACCACTGTAATGGTCTGCACAGGAAGAGCAGAGCACTCACTTCGTCACTGCGTGCTCTGATGCAACGATTTACTTTCTTGGTTTTCCCCCAGATTCCTTGTGTGTCCTGTGCCTTTCCCTGGCAGCAAGGCAAGGCCAAAGGATCAGAAAAAGGTACATTTTAAGGAAGCACAGAACTGCATCTGGCAGACCACACCAGAAGAGACTGCACTGAGGAAAGCAAAGCACTGCAGTGCACATTGCTCATCAGCATGGACTGGCCAGGTGATTCACTGCTCTGGCCAAATGACAGCCAGAGCTACAGTCAAACTATCATGGAATGACATGGACTGTGCTTGCACCACACCTTCAGAAAAGTTATATATCAGCATGAGTATTCTCCCCATATCTTTGCATTCACCCAAAGCTGAACTGTTTCAGCACTAACAGATTCTTAGTAGAAGCATGAGGGAGGAGGAGAGATTCGGGAAAATGTAGGAGCTCTAGAAGTGATATAAACCAGCCTTCCTATAAAGTAAGGTAGTGAAAATCTAGGCAGAACTTTAAATAAAAGCCTTACATTAATCAAGAGAGAAGGCAGGGAGGCTTCCAGCTCTCCATCGAGAAAAGGCATGAGTTTCCAGTCCACATGGTGTCTGTAAATGTTTAATGCTCTGCTGTTTAGAACTGATTATTCCAGACACAGACATCAGATCAATGCACTTTCTCATGTTTTATGGTAAGCAGAAAATACTGTGACAAATTTCACAGCTCTGAGTCAGTGGGGAATGGATAAATGGAGAATGGAGGGAATTTGTTATAGGGTTGATGGTGGTCATATTGCCCCTTTAGAGTTTGGGGGATCCCATGTGGGAAGACCTGGCTGGTACTTTGGCAGCAACAAGGAGTCAGTGCATCAGCAGCCACTGTCCCATGCTGTGTCCCACTCCTGTATGCAATGACAACTGTGCCACTGCCCAGAAACTTTAAGAGAGGGCCTTTCCCCATCCTCTCTATGCAGTGCCGAACGCAGCATGCATTGCCTATTCTTTGCCCTCCCGACCTCTGAAGAAGGATTATTCAGTTCTTATTGTCAGTGGCTGAATGGAAGAGCTATGCAGTAGGTCTGAGTCACAGAGACGTGATGAAAACAAGCTGGAGAATTTAAATGCCAGCTGCTGTCTGATGCCAAGTCAAAATTAATCAGGCTGCTTGATCACTGTTGTGATTGCTAACAGAGAAGTGTATGTATATTAACTTGGTTTCCTCTCTATTGTCCAACCTGCCCTGGGGTTGTATAATTTACAGGTAATTAAGTTCAGCAAAGGTTACTGAAAAACAGAAAAGGATGCCAACCTAACTCTCTTTTATTCATCTGCCAATGAGACTATGGTATAATTTACCATTTAGCTTTGGAAATCTCTTCTATAGATTCATGATAAAGGGAATTTTAACAGTGCCTAAACCAAAGAGATCCTTCCCATCCCTTGGAAGGAATTGTATCAGACTAAAAATCACTTAGGAAAATTACTTCTGCCAGTAACAGGCCATTTAATTCTAAGACTTCACAACATAAGTCTTTACAGAGCTCTAACCCTCATAGAAGCCAAGTAGGAGTATGCGATTTTGGGTGCACAGAAAATTTGCCTAGATAGGGCACTAGAGGGAGAGAGAAGGAATAATCTTCTTCCTGCTGCTAAATATTAATCTTTATGCTACACAGATTCTGGGCTAACGTTTAGATCCACACTGATCTGCAAGAGCTCTCTCCAAAGATGTTATGATGCAGCATATTTATGGAGTAAGGCTACTTGGGCATTAGGTGGCTTTCTGGCCAGAAAGTTTTCAAAGTTAGAATAGTTGTTTCCTTAACAAACCAAAAACAAACAAACAAAAAGATAATTTAAAACATATTCTTTTGCAAGAAAAATGTATTCCAAACTCTGTAAGAAACATAACCATGAATGTCCTCCTGGATTTTGAAGTTAGACAGCTAACTGATTTTTTGTGTGATTGTAAAAATCGCTGATGTTTGGTTCTCAAAATTAACTAAATATTCAAAACCAGGTGTAATAAGGTAAAGATATTAGTTAGGTGCTCTGATCCTGACAAAGAGCACCACAATGCATAAAGGAAGACCAGCTTTCCATCTGAATCTCCATCTCTTTTTCAGGAGAATGTAAAGCACCCACACTTACAACGTTAGAGTTTCATCCTCCCCGGTATGCTTTCTGTCAGTGACTGTTGGCAGCTGCTAATGGAAAACATGATCCTTGTTGAGTTTTTTACCTCAGTCCAGCCATCAGTGGTTTGATGATTTCCTGAGCCAGATGTCACACCAAGGCCATCAGCTTCAATAGCTCTTGATGGAACCTTCCACCTTATTAGGTGTTTTGGGTTTTTTTACCTTTTATACACCTGGGCCATAAGACATCCTGCGGCAATGAGTTCTGCTCATGTGCTGCATAAAAAAGTACCGCCTTGCCATCAATTTCATAAGTTTGTTTTGGGGTTTTGTTCTTTGTGGTTTTTTTCACAGTGATTTCATTGACCTTGTTTTTCAAGTGGTGCAAAAATTTTAACTAGAAATGTGTACTAAAGATTCTTCTTAGCAACATCAAGGCCTGATTGAGATAAATTAGAAAATGTTCACATAAGATGGGGTTCTGCCAATTTAAAAAATATTTTCTTCATTACTTCCACAATTCTTCTTTTGTTTAATTCGCCTTGTGCACAGAAAGACTACAGGCTTACTGCCTCTCAAGCTATTCCTCATAGCCCAGTGCAGTTGCACAGACCTCCTGTGCTGGGCGAGTTGCACCTTTGTGAACAAGAATGTCACTTCTAGGGCCTGAAGTACGCCTCCAAAAAAATATTTTTCATTCCACTGAAGATAAATAATTTTAGAATGATGCCGTGAAAACCAATGGAGTTAGACGAGATTCTGTTTAGGTCAGAATCTGCACTAAATACCCCCAGGGAGCCCATCTCATGTTAAAAAAATGCATTATATTTACTCTCGTTGCCTGCTGCATCTTGCCAGTGGGTGGCATGAAGCCATCATCAGGGTTAGTACCAGGACAGAGTAGCATTTTAAAATGTTCTGAACATAATTGACTCAGTAGTCAGCTTTCCAGTCCTAATAGGCTGGCTGTTTCAAATTAAATTCAGTTATAGCAGGGCCCCTAGTCCACATCAGAGGATAAGAGCAGGCAAAATGAAATTGGAAAAATGGAGTCAGTTTGCATTCCTACTTAGGAACATGAAGACAAATCAGCTACTCAGAAATCATCAGCTATTAGTTTATTGGTAATTCATGCAGCTTAAAAATAGCCATGGAAATTTGTACCCAGACCACTACGCAGCTATCCCCATCCCCAAAATCAGCTAGCTATGATTGCAGTAACAAGAGAGCCCAACTGCTAGATTCCTGAGTCAGCTCTTAAGCTGGGGCTGGAGAGGGAGTGAAAGGCAAGAGGTGGAGGGCACAGAAAGAGGCTTGCATACATCATCAGCCCCAGATATCTAGACCTTGTGAGTCAGAATCATGAAGCTGACTTGAAAATTCTCGTAAATTCGATGTTTTGTCTTACAGATTTTGAACCTTTAGTTTTGTACCTTTTGCATACATAGTAGGATTAACAAAGAAATGTTTTCTTAACGAATTTGGCAGCTTACTAATTGCACACCCAAGGAGGCTTTGGGGAAAAAAATAAACACCAAAAGCTGAAAACATGTCCTCATCTAAAGGGAAAATGGGTGTCATATCAAAATAGGAGAGGTTCCACCACTGACATGGAGTAATGGCACAAAACCAGCATCAGGGTGATGGCCTGCTAGCTTTCACCTCAGAGCTGTGAGCTGTGGTGGAGGAAAGCAGAGATGACTGAGCTGGCTGCATTAGTTAGGTAAGATCAGTAGGACAGACATGCCTATGTGGTGCTGCACCAGAGTTAACAGGGCTATGATCTGTCCAAACCCCTGTACTGAGTTTGAGACCTTGGTGCGGCTCACAGGACATTCCTCTACACTGTGCACGGGTATCGGGGAAGTAGGTGCACACCAGCCTAGAGATCTTGAAGTGAAATAGCTAACCGTGCACTTGCTTGTGCGTCTTGTTTGTGGCTTTGGATTGCCTTTTTTAGTGTCATGCCCAGTGAAAAGAACCATCAGGTTTCCTGTGTTTTTTTGCTATAGGTCCTGAGGCTGAGCTGCCAATCTTGCTACAACACAGAAAAAGAAAGGAGAGGAAAAATGTCTCTTGTATTAGCTGTTGTTAAGCCTGGTTAGGGAATTCAGAATATTACTATGTCTCCCAGCTAGAGAATTACTACTTTTACAGGTAAAGTACTGACTTGAACAGAGAGATGGACATGGACCAAAGAGGAAAAAGCAAAATGATTTAAGATCCTCTAGATGACCTTATTCTAGAAATGTTACTTTTTTTATAAATAAGTGGCATGGCATTTTCACAATTCTGGACAAATACTGATCGATTTCACACCTTTGAAGGGCTGAGGCTTCCATATTTCAAAGTTCCAATGAGCTTTTCCAGATGGACTGTGAAATTGAAAGGATTCCATCGCAAACCTCTTGTCAAAGAGCTGAGCTTCAGCCATTGCAGTGAGGAAAACTGGCACAGGCATCACAACAAAGTAAAAGAGCACCAAACTCATTCCTGAGCCCCTTACCCAGTCCTGTTCTTAGGACTTACAGTGTACCCACATGCACATTTTTTGCCAGGCTTTGAGGGACTATTGGCCTTCTGGAAGTTACAGTGGTGATGCATTGAAAGACTTCAAGGCCATTTATAATTTCCTTAGAGGTATACGATTCTCTTGATGCAAACACTTGCAATTCCTGTTAATAGTATGTGAGCGGTGCGTTCATACAAAGAAGCAATATACCCCCTAGTGACTAGATCAGAAAGGGTCTATCCAGCAGACTGAAGTTCATCCATTTAATGGGGAAAAACACCTCTTCATGCTTGCAAGGTGCTGCTTGCATGTTGCTTGGGGACATTTCTTCCTGGGGTGCTGCTGAGTGCTCCAAGGGTCCAGCCCCAATCAAAGAATGACCCGGGTGAGTGCACAAGGTTCATGTTGTTTGTGTGTTACACCACATAGTCTGAACACAGCTCCAATACACCATCTCATCAGCCTTAGGATTAAGCTAATATTATCTAGCTGTGAAAGTAATTTTCTTCCCCTATTTCAGGCACCCCCTGACCTTCACTGCGCTGTGGCACACCATAATGACCATACACACACGAAGAAACCCTGACCAACCCAGCTTAGGTCTTTACTCTGCAGTTTATCACCAGATACATCTTCAAAATTCTTCTCTACTTCATTCTAGAAAAAAGACAGTGAAAAAAAAAAAACCTGTTCCCTGGGGGCACCAATCTGAATTTATTCCCTGACAAAGCACTGGTGCCTGGGAGCCACAAGAACATTCCTGGTCACATGGGTTCATATGCCAGAATGTTCTGCGTTCATTCTGGGCTTGATCTGCAAGAAGTGCAAAGGGCTGGGATCCTCCTGCTTTAACAGAGCGGGTGGGAGTTTAATCTTTTACACTAATGTCTTGCACGGGAAGAAGTCCTTGGCTACTGACTAGTTTTCTTGTTCGCAGCTGCCCCAGAGGTACGTTAGCAACCAAAATTTGGTGCCCTGAGGAGGCAGGTTGTGACCACAGGGGTCAAACTGCAGCAGAGTAATTACGCAGAGGAAATCAGATGCAGGGACGCCCATGTGGACAGGGCTTTCTGGATACCAGGAAGAGCCACTGCCTCAGACATGAGCCATGTGAGGACTGAAACTAGTGCAAAAGTATGCCAGCTGTGTTGACCCCTTGTATGGCTGATGGTCAGGAAGCCATGTTGACCAGGGCACAGAGAAGTTCTTCATCACCTTCACAGCTTACCTAAGCATCTCATTTTCATCACATAAAGAATGGAGGGCATCAGAAAGTCAGATAAGAGCTCTGCATATGTGGGGTTTAGGTGTACCACTGCAGTCCGTCTACCCTGTCCTCTACTTTAGAAGCAGCCAAATCATTGTGCACAGTGGTCAAACTACTAAGTATTTGGGTTTGTTTTTTCTCAAGACTGTGGGCAGGCTGTACCCAGGTAGGACTCAAAGGCAACAGAAGATGGCTTGCGGGAGGTCTACTGAACAGGACAGGGCCCTGAACTGCTTCCACCTGCCTAATCCTACAACATCTGAGGAGGCATCTGTGGGCAAAAGCAAGGCCATGAGAAGGGGCTGCTGCTGCTCTCCATCTTTTCCCTACTCACTGCAGAGGACATAAGGAGAACCACTCTGAATAACAGATACAGTCTCTGCAATAATGTGGTGGATCCTACTGGGAAAAGGGGTTTTCCCCTAAGCACAGAGAAACTACATGGTTTGTGGCTCATAATGCCTTTTAAGTTGCTGTCTTTGAAGTGTTATGTTTTTGAAAGCAACATCTGCCATTGACAGAATACGGGTTTTTTAAACACAACTGGAAGAAGTAGATCCAGGTCCCTACATATTCTTCACTTCAAATCACCTCAAGTCACCACTCTCCACACATTTTCCAGAAGGATTTTCAGAGGCATGTAGCAGGCACTATACAACCCTGAATAAGCTGCTCTGGAAACTTGGTCCCACACCTGAGTACCTCAAATGGCAGCAAAGCACTCCTGAGTATTGAACCCCAGGTGAGGGATGAGGGGAAAAAGGAGAAGTAAGGATCATCTTCCCAGATGCATTAGCTGTAACAAGCAGCCTGAATGACATTAATCCTAACCCAAAATCTGTGTGCTATTTTGGGCCACTGGCACTTGGGCCATTGCATAGTCTCTCTGCTTTGATCTGTCTGCAAGGGAATTAAAATGGCTTGCCCTTGGTAGATCTTAATCTTCCAAATACTGGTGGCAACCACTCACCTTGAAGGAGGGAGATTCTCAATCACATTTGGGAATCCTTGAGACAGGCAGAAAACAATGTTGCATGATGCTGATTGTCAGACCATCTTGGGTATTGCTAGTCATTGCAACCCTACAGTTGCCAATCTCCCATCTGGAGACTTTAATTTGAAACAATGCCCTGCTTTGCTATAATCTGTCCCAAAGAGGGATTTCTCAGTGTTTTGCCTCTTCAGCAGACTGGCTTAACTGCACCAGTCTGATTATCAGACAGTGCAGTTGCCAATAATAAGAAGACAGCAGTTAACCCAATTTGACATGTCTTTAGGCAGTCACAAGCGACAAGCTTCCCCAGCATAGGGGAAGGCATTTAAACAAGTTGTCCTTGATTGGTGAGGATGAAATAGGGCTGCAGCTCCTTTGTTGAAGCCTGAATGTTCTGTTGAGCGGGTGAGATACATAAACCACATCATGTCATGAAAGGGGCAAAGATTCTCTTTCAAGTGGAACAAACAACTTATGATACAAACAGTGACTTTTTTTTTCCACTCTTCTTTTTTTCTTCTTCTTTTTCTTTTCTTTTTCCAGCAAATCTAACCACACAGTGCACTGCAAGGATGAAACGGAACAAAGTTCAATGGAAAGGATAAACAGGAAGATCTGTAACTCCAGGAATGGGCTGCTCCATCAGAGGTGAAAAGTTAAATGCAACCTGCAGCAATTGTTCTACTTTTAAAGATTAAAATGAATGCCTTGGTAAGATACTTTCAGGAATATTATGGAGAGTGATTAATGCACAGTCTTCTTTAGCCATTATTACCTCCCCCACTCACCCCCAAAACCTTGATCATCTTCATTTCTTCCTTTTATTTTTATTATTTTAAGATTTCTATCGCCACACTGATTTGACTCCAATTTCTGATCAGAGAGAGAGCACAGTTATCATTCCTGCATTCAGGCAGAGATGCCAGTTATGTAGTAATGGATCAGCATGAGCAAAGCAGAGAGGACTGGAGTCAGGACATGCTGTGCAATTAAGGTAACTATCTGCTCAAGACAAAAAACAAGCTTTACAGGCTTACATTTCCTTCTTGCACTCTCATTAGAACACGTGGCAGCAATAATGCTCACAATATGGGAGCTTTGTGGCTGCTTGTTACTTAAAAATAAGGGGGGAAGGGGGTGGCATTTCTTTCCTTAGGGAAAGTACCCTTTCTGTTTCAAGCAGTAAGAGTTAAGCACACCAGCAATGGGCATAGTCTAAATGGAGCCCATGTGCAATTTCACAATGGCTTTTAGGCTTTTTGTTTATGAAACTTCCTCAAAAGCTTCACATATAGGACCAAACCCTTTAGTCTCCCACCACTCTGAGAGTGCTTGGTTGCCTCAAAGGGCTGTAGAAAGGCTCTGGTGGCCCATCCTGGAGAGATGAAAGCAGCTCTGAATGTCCCTATGAAGAGTCTCACCAACCCTTCCTGTGTTGGGAGCCAAGCAGACTCCTTACTGGCCACCTGCAGGAGACCTAGACCATGTCCGCACAGCTCTGTTTGCTCTGTGCAGCTTGGAGGAAACCTTCAGCTACCTCTCCATAAAATTCTTCTGTGCCAATGAAGTGCTGCTTAGCACAGGGCAGGTGCCATCTCAGAACCTTTGTCACCACTGTAAACTTGCTGGACCAGACTGCATTCACATGTATAGGCAGCCCTATGAGGCTTTGGAAACAAAACTTTTGTGCTAAGGTTATGTCATTTTTTATACATATAACACCAGAAAAGAGGCTCTTGTTCCAGCCAGTATTAACTTTAAATTTAGCGTTTTGCTTTCTACATCAATACAAAATCATTGGTCCATATATTCAATTTACTCTTACCCGTTCAGTCCCATTGATATCAGTGGCAATGTATGGGTAAGAATCAGCCATATGGTACTGTAATAATCTCAGTATATTCAGATTTAAAGTGTTATTTTTCATGTGGGTAAACTTTCAGTCTGGAAAGGACTTTGGTAACTATTACAGGAGGGTTTCATGCTTTATCTAGTTATAACGTATTAGGACAAAAAAAAAAAAAAAGAAAACAACCCTCACCTTGCAACAATCTGAACAAGATATTAATTGTTCTATTGATAAATCTACTAAATACAGTGTGTTGTTTTGTCCTCAGTCCAGCCAGGACATCTGTTTTCTTGGCTTTACAGTACTTAGCACAATGAATCATTTGCCTCCAGTTATTTGCTGTCCCAGCGTAATCCAGCCATGCCGCATGCCTTGCACCCACAGCAACGGCAGTGGGATCTGCCCACCTCTTTCTCTTTCGACGTAAAATCCCCAAGATTTGTAATTTTCAAAGGCTCCCTTCCTCCCTGCACAAATTGCCCCTTCCCAGACACATGCAGCCTGCTTAGAAATGCCTTCAAGGGGCTTTTCTAGTCCCTACAGCTATGGTTATGTCTTAAGTAATAAATAGAATTAATAAATACATAAATAGAATTAACAAATAAAACAGGTTGTTCTCTCATCCTCATGTAACAGCCCAAAAACACCCTTCTCTGCAAAACAGACTGGTCCAACTCAAACCCTCTTTTGAAAACAAGCCTGGCTCAGGCTACACCTAGGGACAAGCCCCAGGATTGTGCTTGCTGGAGAATGGGCACACAGTCATTTAAGGGGTTTCAAATCAGGTGGGAGCCACTGCCTGAGCCTTCTTGGTTTTTCTACTCCAGGCAGAGCAGTGTCTGACGGGATGTAGCCAATGCACATCCTGGCAGGGCCTGCTGCCTGCAGGAAGGGTGACTGGCTGAAGATGCTGCCAGCAAGTTAGCCTGGCCTGAGGCAAAGTGGGAGAGCATGACCAAAATGTATCTCCATACATGGCTTGCTTTCTGCTGAATAACTCTCATAAAAGATGTTTTTGTTTAAATTATCCAAAGCTTTTCAATGGAGTGTCAGTGAGTGATGAGATAGTGACCTATGTCTTTGGAAAACACATTTTTATATACTGCATGGGGGCCAAGGATGGGACTGGGTCTCCAGGTGCTGGGAATAGCAATGCCAAGTGGTTAGAGCAGCAATATCCTCCTGACTTCCCCGGAGGGAAGTTTTCTGTACATTTGTACAGCACAGGCAAGAGAAGTAGAAAGCAATGGTAATGGGAGACCACAACACCTGGGAACAGAGCAGACATCTTCTGGTGGGGATAGCGCTGGGGCTTGCAATTATTTGGATACAGACCGCACTGATGCTTTACCCTGAGAAAAGGGTCCTTTTCTCTTCACATCTTCCCACATGGGTCTGGGAAATGAACAGTACTACCTCAGCTGAAAGACACCTGCCCTGCCTGGGAGTCTCCTGCCATCTGTGAGCAAGGGAGGGAAAAGGATTCAACAAAGACTAAGTCTGAAGCCACACACACATCCATCCCAGCAAGATAAGTATCTTACTAGGTCTCCCTGTCCCACATTTGCATCCCAAGCTACAGACCACTGTAGTTTGATTTGAAAGCATTCCAGAGAGAGTGCAGCAGGACAGAGGCAACGGCCTGCCAGGAGGGGGGCTGCTGCCCATTCTGGACTGCCCATCCTCCATCCTTGGCAGGAGGAACCCATACCAAAAGAGCTGTAGAGGCTTGGTGAGCTCCTCTACCCATGCACAGTCTATAGTTTTGGATTTCTGTAGGAGAGGTTTTTAGAGATCTTAGCCATAAGCTCCCAGAGACTTTCCAGCTGTATGTTAGGCTGATGATCACAGTACAAGATGCTATTTATAATCTACAGTACTAAGCACTAGTGCAGAACAAGGGTAAATATTACAGCTCTGCTCAAGCAGTATTCTTGTATCAGCTGGCCTTCGATGGTCAGGAAAACCAGCCTTCAGACCCTCAGCATGTATCCAAGGACCAGAAAATAAGGAGGGAATCTCAGGAACAAAAGATCTTTGGCAGGATTGCTACTGCTTTCTGGCTCTAGTTGCATTTTCTTCTTCACACAGGCCAGGAACTTGAAAACTTAGGCAGAAAATATCAAATAGCTGATGACAAAGAAAAACAGTAAATCTAACAGTTCTGCAGCTTTTCTCAAGAAGTTTGGGAGTTTAATTCATTAAGTGGTAGAAATAGTGCAGTATCTAGAACAGTATGAAAGCTTGGGGTACCACCAACCAGAAATTGGAGAGGAAAACTAAGAAAGCTTTTTCACAGTCCCACTCAAAAACAGTCTGAACTTCAGACAAAAGTTCTCTTCGGCTTTAGAAAAGCCAGATCTCCCATCACTAAAAACCAAACTTCAGATAACTTGTACTTTAAGCAGCTAAGTGGCAATAATTTGTCTACAGTTTCCCAGAGACCACTCCATTTTGATCTATTGATTATAGGATTAAAATATTCACATTAGAGATGAAAAGGAGAAAACTGGATCCCTGGGGACAAATTCTGCTCTTTCCAGCTTGCATAGCTGAAGGATAGGAGTGTTTGACCAAGGGGACATATAACGTTTTAAAAACTGCCCCAGGTCTCCTGACAGCCCTTGTTCTTGGGAAAGCATCTTTGGCTCCCACGCAGTTGCGTAAGTACTGTGCATTACATGAGGGAGGTGCGCCATTGTTTATTTAATAGCTAAATAAACAGTCCCATTAACCCACTGTGAATGGTCAGGGGGAAAAAATGAGATTTTTGCCCTTGGGCCTTTCCACATGTACCTCTCATTTGACAGTTGTGTTTTTCTGTGTGTTTTCCAAAATATCCTTGCATATTTAAATCATGATGGGATTTCCTGAATTCATCTATATCAAGGCATTCATGTGTCCCTTCTCCCAGTTAATGTTCATAGAAAACACATGTAAACCATGCTATTAAATGGGAAACTTATTTCAAATATATTAATAATTCCTTGCTTGGTCAGTTCTCTTCGTCCAAGTAAAGTCTGCTCAGTCCTCAGCCACTGCTCTGCCCTAGGCTGTGGAAGTCAGGGCAGTAATCTGATATACTGTTTCCTATTTAAACTAGAAATTTTTAGCCTTTGCCCAGTTTTCCAAATGCTATGTTTCTAGGGAGTTTTATGTTGGAGCAAAGGCTTGGAAAAGTCCTTCTGTCCTGCAAAGTATGGTCCTCCTGCACCAGAGGCAATGGCAGTATGGCAATGTCAGTCTTTCATAAAACCAAGAAGCAGTCAGGACTTTCTCTTTATATTCCTATTGACAGGCTATTCCAGATCACCACAACTTGGGAGCTGGAAATAAGGGGCTAAAAGAGACGGAAAAAAAAAATAAAATCATAGCATATCAATGTTACTGCTTAAAGCAGTGTAGTGTTCCCAGACAGCTTTCCCAGGTCACCATTTCTAATTCTCCCAGCTCAGTAGGGTATAGCTAAGTGATTATCCCAAATGCTTGACCTCAATTCTAGGTGCTGCAGATTGGTTCTATGAGGAGGAGAAATTGATGTTTTAGTCAAGGCTTTCTCTAACACTGATTTTTCTGAAAGGCATTGCCAAATGTCCTGCCTCCCCCATTGCCATGAGGCACCTCCCTGCTCACCTGTCTAAGCCTCTTGCTGGCCAAAAATGCTCAAAAATCTTACTGCCCCTTGGCCTTTTCCTTCATCTGACACCCTTTTTTATTCTGTGAGTAGCACCTATCAGATCTATTATCATTTAACTTGTGGGGA